CTGGCTATGACAGGTTGTGAAGGAAACCGAGCTTTGTATCAATACACATTTCACATCACAATCCCATCAATACATTTTTGATTACTTGCTTCCTTGAACTATAAGTTGACTTGTGGTCCCTTGGCCTATGGCAGCTGGAAGACAACAGATAGATATGCACTGAGATAGCATTGAGAGCCCAGTTAGAAATGTGTGTTCTTTGATTGATTTCTTTTTTTTCTGTCAAAAATTTGTACAGGGAAAGTAAAAAAAAAAAAAAAAGAATAGGGAAAAAAGGATTAGTGAAATAGAAACTCGGTCATTTCTTTGTGTACCCTCTCCTCAATGTAGTTTCAGTTCTCTTTCAAGGTGATTTGTTGCTTTTTGACAGTGTCACATAGAGATTCTTAATTCACTGTGATTTTCATTCAGGATAATTCCTGGTAAATGATAGTAGTAACAGGTGTCAGTGTGACTTTCTTTTCCTGACTGAAGGAAACCTTATTATTTGAGTGACCAAATTGATTTTCCTGAGGATAGGAAGATATATTTGCTGCAAGAAAGATATATTTGACTAGAAAAGTGAGTTCTCTGCCCCTTTTTTTTTTAGGGAGGGAGACTTGACTTACAAAGAAGGGGCTTTATCGCTGTCCATGTGAAATTTCACAAAATGAGTAAAATTATCCTTATTATCAAAACTTGCAAACCAGTGTTGAATATCATGCTGCAACTGTTCTCTGCCTCTTTGGTGAGAAAGGGAAAGAAAAAAAAAGGGATAAATGCTGCTAGAAAGTGTTGTAAAGGAGAATAGGCAATAAGTGACTCAGGTTATTTATAAACTATTGCTTTTCTCATTTTTGAAGCTGGCATTTTAGATGCAGCTCCAGGCAATTACAAATCAATTATAGCCCACAATTGTTACAAATTTTGATGTATTCACTGGCCTGTAGTTACAAATACAAATCATCTCACTCTGCTTGAGGTCAAGGGTTTGATAAAGATTGTCCAGTTTAAATGGAGCTAACTGGAACTATTTATTAATCAGTTGGATTGAAAAGGAATTGATGCACTCACATGATTTTTTTTTCTTTCTTTCTTTCTTACAGGCAATTTCTTTCCTTACGCCACTAGCAGTCATTTTTGTGGTGAAAATAATCCGCCGAACAGACAAGACTGAGATTAAAGAGGCTTTCTTAGGTAACATATGTCATACTTCTAGATGGAAAAAAAATCTTATAGTTGTTAGATTTAAACTTTAGACTAAGCCATGAGCAAAGCTTTTCTCTGTTACAGTTCAGTAGGTTTCAGTGCGGCTATAATTTAACACTGTCTCACTGCCTTTCTTTTTGGGTGTGTTTGTAAATGGGCAAATTATGTACCTTGATTCCACAGTCTAGCTAACAAGAATGAGAATTTGCTTAATGAAGGGAAGACCAGTTGAGGTGGACTGTCCAGATAGACTCACTGTGACCAAATAGCACCTATTGCTGGCCTCTTATTTTACAGTGCAGTTCTTATAATTTCAGGGCTGGACAAGGGAGACCTGCGCTCCTTGCTTAGGGAATTACTTCCTATTATTCTTCTATCAGTATTTTTGGAGTCCAAAATTGACTGAAATCCTTTTGTTAACAAAGAGAAATTTCTAGCCTTGGAATTGCAATTGCTTTTTGGCAGAGTATTCGAAATGCCCAGCTCTAGAATTTTCTGTGGTTTGCTGGCTAATTTGCAGTTGAATTTATTGGTCCTTGGATTGTAAGAGCAAAGTGACAGTCAGCTATGCCTTAGATATATTGGATATAAATGTCACAACATCTCTGCCTTTTCTGCCTTTTTTTTTTTTTTTTCCTAAGGCAGGGAGTTCTTACTTTTTCTCCAACTGCTCAAACACTACTGTGAAAAATTGTTGGTTTTGATTTGGTTGCTGCTACTCATTTGTAGAAAATTCTGGAGTTTCTCTGACTAATTTCATATTGACATGTCTATTCAGTATAGGGAACCTAGATTAATAAAATGCATACAGTCACAGTGCTGAGTTTCACTTTATGCTGTTTCAGGAGGAAAGGAATTTTGGATTATTATTTCCCATCACTTGCTATCATCTTTTTGTTCTAAAGAGTCATTCATGGTTTCTGCTGGTTTTGCCTTCTGTTTCAGTTCCCTCTGCAATGCCCAGGAGGAAAAGTTGTTTTCAGGCCCTTGCCAACCTCTCCACTGTTCTCCCACACAAACTTTAAGGAAATCCAGCTTTGATGTTCTGTTCTGCAAAGTATCCCTGGGCCCCATTTGTTCCATATATGCATAAGTGTAAAACTTCTCATGACTTAATGCTGTTCAAGTATACCATGCATTAATTTGATTGAGTATGTTAATTTGTCTCTTGATATGAAGTTTTTGTGAAAATTCATTAACTGTGATGAAACTTTCCTAGTTTGTACTGTGATCTGGCACATAGTTTGTAATGAATGATCAGGAAATCCTCTAAAAGATGAATTTATTTACAGACCTATAGTCATAAGCGAAAGGGATCAAAAATAAAAGCATGTTGAAAATACTATTGATGCTTGGATGTTTGAATAGACTGCGCTGCATAAGTCCAAAGATGGCTCAGTGAGACCTGCAGTGAGCAATCAAGATAAAGCTTGATGAAGAGAGTAAACTTTGTAACATATTTCAGCACATTTCTTAAAGAGAATGTCATGCTGTGGCATTGATGATCGTATGCATTTTATCTTATAAAAAATTTCTATTCAGTCATGGCATGCAATCACCAAAAGTAACTGAGAGAAAACAGTTGAGAGGAGAAAGAGCAGGTACATGACTGCTCACTGTGAACAGAGGTGTTGAAAGTGGAATACTTTATTTTTTTGAAGAATATTAATGTCCCTAGGATTGATTTGTTCCTTTATTCTTGCTGGCAGCTATTATAAAATCTGAGAAAACCCTTGGTTTTGCTTCAGTGTAGGACCTTCTTCTTTCACTTAAAAATATATCTTGTGACACCCACACTTTTTTATGATCTATAATATCCTCAGGCAAAAATTTTATGGAGACAGGATGAGCGTGCCCGAAACACAGCATTTGGGGCAGCAGTCCAACGAGAAAATAAACAGTGTAGCTGTCATAATCCAAACATATCATACTGAAACTGTTCTCCTAGAAATCAGAGATTTGCCTGTTTTTTTTTTCTTTTTTTGGTTAAGAAATAAAATGTAGGAGTTCTTGCATTGTTTTAGGGAACTGCAACCTGGACTGCAACATTAAATCAATTTCAGTATAAAAACAATTTATGGATCTGAATTCCATTGAGATCAAGGCAGAAATCTTCACAGTCACAGGTGAAGTCCTTTGGGAAGCCTAAGGACTTGGTGTCTAAATTATAAGAGCGATACAGTCTTACTCAGCATGGCAGTTTTTGTTTATTTCTCCAATGTTATTCTGAAGGTCGGTCAACACCTTGGAGAGGCAGTAGGGGAAAATGTCAAGATTTTTAGTCAAAACATGTATGTCCATTTTAAAGTAGATTTAAAAATCTAATTCAAATTTTAGCTGCAGAGCAGTTCTGATTGAAAATGGATGGTTTAACTGAGTGTGTACATATATACCCGTGTGTGTGTTACATATGTCTATACAGGAATTCTTGACCCAAAGACTGTAAGACTTTTATGTAGTAAATTGCAAAGCTGATAAACACAGAACTTGATTCAGTAATGCTTTCTGCCTTTGGATTATTTATGTCTCTGTAAATGACATGATAAAAAAGCCCATTTTGTGTTAGGAAATAAGATTTCTGAAGAGTAAAAGCAGAACAAAATCGGTTGCATGGTTGTTATGCTGCTTTGGGGTTTGCCCTTAGTGAGGGTAATAAAAAAACAGTGGGCTGCAAAGATCTTTTGTTGTACTGAAGGATCATTTTCCGTTCAGTAAAAGTTTCAGTCTGCAACTCAACTGCTGTAATGCTACAATTTAGAACTTGGTAATTTGGTTATTATTGTTCTCTTTGTTCATTCTGTTTTGTAGCTGTTTCCCTGGCTCTAGCTCTGAATGGAGTCTGCACAAATACTATTAAACTAATAGTGGGAAGGTAAGTCTTGTTAACTGTTACAGAAATGTAGATGACAGAGTTGACGATTACAGTGCTTTTTAATAAAAATTAAAAAAACACTGTTCCAAAACACATGGGGTTAGCAGAGACCTCTGTAATGAGGCCGTCTCTCTGCTTCAGATGTTGCACAACTTTATGATGTGACATCA